TTCAATGAAGCATTAGTAGCCTTTCCAGAGACATAGCGAGATTACGAGACCTTGGACATCGTCTCATCCAGCATGCCACATTTCCAAAGGCCAATATGGTTGTACGACCTCACGAAGCAAGTAATCACCCGTTTATACCCCTCAGTAACAGTTTCTCCTGGTCCCATTGCAAGGCTAATCAGTGTCGAGATGCCCGAGCGGGCCGATTCGCTGCCAGCAGTGAATGCTTGATGAAATTCGCCAACGCTTGTTTACGTTATATTCATAGCTGTTAATACAACGCGAATGCAGCGATAAAATATCTTAATGGACGCATAATTGCACTGATCGCCACGGAGTTTACGACCAGCACCACGATTACGCGGCCAATCACCAGCGATACCGTAGCCGTGCGAAGCCCTGGAGCCGGGCGCTGTGCTGTCCTGCACGAGCCTGTCACCTGGTCTGATGGCAATCTCATCGATACTATCAGTAGCATCAATGTAGTGCTGTAGTTTTTTTACGATCACTTTGATTGCCGCATTGCGCAATGCCGCCGTAACGCACGTATTCAGGCGTTAGCGCAATCAACTGCGCCATTGCGTGCTGAGCTCGGTGAAATTAGGCGGCAATTAGTTTGTCTTAGTCGTGAATAGCCCCGTATTGTTCGAGACAAATGAGATACGCGTCGCACCTGGAACGGTCTCGACCGACGAAATCTGCGCTCGGGCAACAGCTTATCGGGTGAAGATGATGAATGGTGAGCATGGGAACGGCCAGAACCCCCCGGAAGGCTTCAAAGCGTGTCTCGAGTGGTGCCAGTGGGTCAATTACAGTCGATTATGCTCTCGATATAAGGTAATACAGGATGACGGACGCCAGATGAAGCCTCTTACAGCGGTCCGTCTTTTTCAAGCATCCAATTAAGTGCAGTGATTAGCGCGTTTGCCTCTGATCGCCCGACTGCCGCTACCCTGTGAAGGCAGCGATACCTCCGACAAGGGATGAAGCATGGGGACGAAGGAATTTGACGAGAAATCTTGGCATGACATCTCGAAACGAGGTCACCCACTTCCGGTGGTGCACCTGTGGTGCCGACCGTAAGTGGCTCGTCTAAATCATCTTATTTGACATTCGACGAGAAGAAAAAATCCGTTCGCTAGACCCACTAACACGGATTAGGATTCAGGACGATAGCTCTTGTTGACGTCAATGACAATTGAAATCGGTCGGGAATTACCTCCACGGATTAGTCGGGAAACCGTCAATACTACATCGGGGTTCTTTGCTAAATCTTCAGGGCGCCCGTGAAGGGATCCCCTGGCAGGTAAAACCACAGCGCCATTTCGGACCATGAAAACGCTCCAGGAAAAAATAACACTTGATATTCTCGACCAGATTATCATTTGTGGGGGGAGGGGGTTTATTCCAAATAGTGATCTCATAATTCCTACAAAATTCATAAGGCTCCGATATTTAGTGGAATCGAAAGGGTCAACGAAGCATAGAAAACTGAACAAAAGTTTTCGATTTCCGGTGCGGTTCCAGAAACCAACCGACAACACTAAAATGAGTTGAATAAGCCTCGGGAGCTACCTTAGCGCTCCCTTTAATTATTTCACAATCAATAAGAAAAAATTAGATGCATGATATTTTCTTATAATTGGGAATCAATGAATTCATCGGAAGCTGTATAAATTGGTGTTTCGTTGAAGAAAGCTCCCTTTCCTCCAAGTTTTTTAACTCACTGTTCCCTCTACACGTCAATTTTTTCGGTTTCGATATGAACTTTGGTGGGATTTTTGTTAATTCTTCAGAGAACATCCCTTACAACAATTTCGTTTTGTAGAGCATGCCCGTTTGGCGCTGTTGTTGGCTTGAACTCTTAAGTTTCACGGGTTGTTTATTTTACTGTTTATTTTTTTTGTTTTTTTCTTTCAACAGCACGTGAGGGAGTTCTCTTGTAAAAATATATACAACTTTGAATTATCACAAGCTTGTGTTAGATTGAACCGGTTAAATGGCTCCATTTTTCGCGACAGGTGAAGAGATCCTGGAGTTCTTCTTGGGAGAGAGCGGCCTGAATTCACCTAGAAGAGCCCACCTTCACGTATTCTCCTCACAAGCCCATGTGTGATCCAGCTAATCCGTTGACACCATGCCACTACAGGTCAGACAAACTACATGATATGATTAAATGGCTTACGGTAGGGCGATAAATGTGACGCAATCACCGGTTGCGCCATCGCGACGACAGTGACAGGTTGCGCTGGCTGTCCCGGCGATCAAGACGGGTACATGGCTGATGACGTTCCCGGATGCTTCATCCCTGACATGCCATCTCAGGCTGTAGTGAGCACTCGAGCATCACAAATACGTCTCATGAACTGTGATGACTTATGTAAATGAGTAGCCTGTGAGTGGGATTAGGGATGATGCTTTTTCGTGTAAGGTGATCTCGGATTACCCACGGCCAGGTCAAGCTCCTCGTCGCATGTGCATCTGCCCAACGATTCCACTCGCTTTCGTGCCGACATGCATAGGAATGTCCTTTCTTGCCCTCATTTTCAGCAATTTTCAGCGACGTTTCCTTGAAATTTCGATGCTCTCTATTTATTTGAGCGGAGCTCAGAAACTGGCCAAGGTCTTCATTCCCACTTCACTTGCTGAGTTCTTTACTGAGAATTTCCAGGAGTGAGCCCACCAAGCTCCAGCAACCAAAACAGTTTCCAGTGTATCATAACAACTTATGTACCCAAAAAAAGAGAACTTCAATTTCTACAAAGACTTGAGCTAGAGAAATCCCTGCAGGAAGGACAAGAAACCGGGAAAAAAGTGTAGAGGGAAATTTCTAGTGGTCCCAGGGTTTTCTGGAGTGCTTACGTACTTCATCCACTGAACAAGTTTACTAAGAACGCGATTCGAGTTCAAAACTCTACATCGAACTTCGTGAAAACAAGGCTTTCAGCTAAATGCTGCCATATTGCCCCATCCAGCATACTTTTCGTGGAACGGCTTCCAGAACTACGGAACTACACACGCATAAAATACATGAATGGATTGTCAAACGAAATAACAATGCAAGTTAATAGAAATGGTGGGGTGGAAAATATGCGAGTGGTAGTGTTTAACACGTTGACGACACGCCCTTGTGCGCGAACCTACCCACCTTACTTTACAAATTTGCATTAACAGTTACTACATTACCAATAATTTCATTAGTGGTAACGAGAGAACTATTTTTCGTATCCAACAGTAGGAAGGGCCAGTCTTGAAGCATGAAAATGGAGGCACAATTTAGGAAAAACAAGTCTCTTCCGTGTGGGAGTGCGGGACGTATGTGTCCCGCGCTGTCGTCAAAGTGTTAAAGCAGGTGAAGCGGACAAATTCTACGAACTTATACGACATTTCGTGTTCGTTCTAGCCGTGTCTAGCATTAATAAGCTTCCATACCATCCCATATAGGTTCAATTTACACGTGGGCCTGTCTAGGAGGCCAAAGCGGTTGAATTGTGTACAAAAGATGCTGCGGCATGCCGCGCACCTCAGACGATGTTTGGTGAAGTAATGATCAATGGCCAAGGACTTCCCCTTCGGTCAAAATCCTTGTTCGTGCCTGTTTGATACCTTGCTGAGGACAAAAAACCCCCGTCAAACAGGCAGGCAAACTGAGCATGAGGGTAGGGCTACCTTTTTCAAAACTGCATGCTTAACCCTGAGCGTATAAATTTAGTAGTATCCTGTTTCATTGACCACAAGGAAGGCGACAGCTGATTACATCTGTTTGGGGAGCTGCGCTAGCTCTATTAGATCCACTTTACGAGTTGGAGAAAATTCGTAGGTCATGCCTCAATATTAATTAGCGAATTCAGCCAATTTTTGTCACCACGGGCCATTTCACAATTTTGGTGGAACATCAATCCAGGAGGAATCTGGTAAATAAAACTTTCTTAGCAGATCATCAAGCTTTCAGTTTGCCTCCTCGGCAACAATAGTTTCTACAGCGAAGAGGACTGCACACAGAACTGCGAAAGGGGATTTAGAGTCTGTAGATCGGCACTGGTTTCAGAGCAAACTGCCCGACGCAATGACTAGCAACGTCTACTCCATAGATATCGCACCAGTTAATGGTCCACTCTTATTTAGGAATAATTTCACTTGTACGATAGCAGGTTACAGGTTTTACCTACAGGGTTAACACATTAACGACCGCTACTATTTGTCTATCTCAACATTTTTTATAATTTCCATTACCAGTCATTCCCACCTGAATAGTCACCTGATTCACCTGATTCACCTGAATGGTCAAATTGTTTTAAGAATCTGATAAACTATAAAAGGATGTTGAGTCATGAAGAATCCGAGTAAATCAAGAAAACGGATCTCCTCTGTGACGCACATCCGCACCACGCCGTCCCCAATACGTTCTGACATGTACGGGACTTATTCGTATAACCGACCGAAAAGAAGTTAAATGATAAGTACCAGCGCTTCTTGTATACACGTTCTCGTCTTAGTTTCACCGTTTGTCAAAGCCCTTCTATTTATTGAAGAAAAATAAACAAAACCACATTCTTTGGCCTTCAAAGGCAGTATGGCAGCGAATTTCTTGTAAATGGACGCGCGGTTCACGCGAGTTTTTTCTTCTCGTTGAACAAGGCGTGCAAAGGGCACACGCCGTTCCAACGACCATGCAAAAACGAGTGCGTAATTGGGTGGCTCGGAAGCCACAATCCTCCCATCCACGGAACCTCAACGTCGATCAACGACGTGGCTTCCCAAATGACTCACGAAATTTCCACGCAGGACCTTTTTTATAAATATTTATCGATGTAGTACATAAATACACGTAATGTCAATGAAATAAAGTGAGATTGATATGGGAGGCTTTGAAATAGCCGGAGAACATATGCAGATCTGGGAACCCGATGAAGCGTGACTGTCAGTAGCGAGAACGGTAAACAAAGCACAGATAATCGATAATAGAAAATCAATAATAAATAAACTATCTGTAGCAGTGCTCACTGCATGAAGTTACCGTACTTCTGCTCTTCGAAGGAAGAATCGCTGTAGTAGGAAGAAGCAGGTGAGAAGTCGGTGGCCTTCGACATAGGTTGTGAATAGTAAGGAGAAACGTCGGGAGAGTGGTAGTACTGCTGCTGTTGTTGATGAGCGAATAGTCGTTGAGGAGCTTGAACCGGGTGGTAGCTGCCCTCTTGCAAGAGCGTCCGTAACTGCTCAATGTAGCGGGCGGCTTCTCGAAGTGTCTCCACTTTGGAGAGCTTCTGCTTGCAGCCGTGTGGCTTGGGAACTCGCGATCGGAGCTGGTTGAAGCCTTGATTCACCTAAATTGAAAGAGTTAGGAAAATGATAGCAGAAAGAAGGACAAGGTAAGCTTTGAAATGCTCTCACTGACCTGATCGACACGTTTCCTCTCACGCTCGTTCCGTCCGCGCAGCTTCTGCGGTATGTGCTTGGTGGTTGGCTGGGAGGGCATCGTCGTCACTAGCGGAGCCGATTCAAATGGCACAATGACCTTTGCCGAGAGATGCCCGACCGCAGGGGGTGGGGCCACGGTGCCCTCCATGGGCGGGGCTCATCCATCAGCGGAAACCAACAAACCCAGGGCGCGCGAATAAGTGAGTGGAATTCAGATTTGACAGTCGTATAACTTCGTATAATGTATGCTATAGCCACAAATACCGGAAGATTGTACCAAAATTTTTGAAAGACTCCCTGCCTGAAGGTAGCCAAAGGGCTGCACGACAGCGACTGTGGAGGTGATCACATAGAGCCTGCAAAATTTGAAGCTATTTAAATTTCGGTATCTTGAGAAGTCCAATATTTGTTTAATCGTTGAATAGCTACTTGATCTAAACGATAACTCTGCCAAATCTTAATCAAATAACCCATAACTCTATTCAGTTCCTAGATTTGCTCGCAGTGCAAAGGTTGTTCATAGTGCAACAGCTACATATTCTGGGGCGACAACAGCTTCCGGTGGCTCATTAAGATCCGGAGCAACGAGCAATGAAAATTTTTTTCGGGTTCTGCGGGCCTCTTTCAGTTGCCTTAGCAACCTCTCTAAATGGTAAATTGAAAACAAGATGGAGTATTGAGGTATACTTTCAAAAGTTGTGTGAAGTGGAAAATCCTCCTGAAGGTTGTTCCGGTGAACTTTTGGACTTTCAGAAAAGTCTTAGAAATCGTTCCATTATTACAAATATAATGCAAAATCAATAGAAATGTACTCTGAGCAAGGACCACTCAGCCGCCGTATCGCTTTTTCATTCCTCGGTCAAATGCAATATTGAGTGAGTTCAAGGTTTCAGTCTGAACCCCACTCTTGCTTCAGCGCATAGCTCTGTGGGAGCCCTTACAGGGCCATACTTATGAAATTACCATATCGGAGCTTTTCGCTGTACAATCTGTGGTACAGAAGCCACGGCTTTCAAACTTTGGCCTCATCCAAAGCACATCCCAACAGAAATGTTCCTTTCAAGGTTGTTAACTACTAAAATATCTCCTTCGCTTGGAAATTGATCTCTAATTATACTGTTATGCATCAACTCTCCATACCTATGTTCTTATTCTGTCAAGAGATGAAGAAGATAGCGCTTCCGCTAAAATAAGCGTGCGTTAGACCAGGCAGGTCTGAGTACTGTGGATATATTTGAGAAAGCATGTACCATTTGTTTTCATTTCTTTCAGACTCGGACGGTATCAGAAAAGCCGATAATTCTGCTATAGCGTTGAAAAAGGAGAGGTGCGGGCTCTAGTCCCGCCTGGGCCGAAAGTTTAGTTCACAACCCAGCATTCTAGTGAAACATTCATGCGATACTTTACAAAGCCGATAAGTTAGCTGTTATAATGTTGGATTTGTAACTTGTGCTTAACTGGATGAGGTTGTCTGTCTGTTGGACGGCTAAAGTAAAGTATTCACCAGAATCGGCTTAATCTGAAAAAGAGAAGGGCGATCCCAATGGATCTGATCTGCCATTGTTCCTCTGAAGCTACAGTACTCTTCCGCCAATTTGATGACATTCCGAAGTTCCTTTCGAAAATTTCAAAGCGAGAAAGGGTCACCTCATCACTTGAGGTATCCCAGAGTCTATTCATTGGTATTTCGCGATCACATTTGTCTACAGAGATAAGTAGTCCACAATATATTATCGAAAACATATTTGATTACTCTGGTCACTTTCTTTGACCAGTTAGTCAATGCTGAGCCCTTCATATCTCCTAATTGCCTTCCCTG